GTTCCCTCTTGAAGTCTTTCGCGCTGCGGACATTGTAGTTGCCCTCTGCGTCATGTAGCTTCACGCAGAATCGGACGCAAGCCGCGCCAAGGTTTGTCTATCCGGCACAGTCTGTGCGCCAGCAGCATATGGCTGCTTCAAGAAACTCTGTCTCTGGCTGTTTGAAGCGCAAGACTTGTCCAGATCAAAATGTCTGTTGCGCACTGCTTCAATCAAGAAAGGCGAAAGGGCCTGAAAGGGGCTTGCGACATCTGTCTCACCATGTCCGTCACTACTGTGGGCGCACGCAACATGCCGAGAACGATACCAGCAAGAGCAACACTGGGCAAGTCCTGCTGCTTCGCGGCGCTGTCTCCTCAGCAGGCTTTTGAGCCATGATACAAGAAAGGCAGCTAAATTTGAGAACCTAGTACGCACATCAGCAAAGCTTGGACAAACTGGCCAGGTCCTCCAAATCTGGCTTCATGTGGGTCCAGGACTCAATGGCAGCAACTTGCAACGTTAGGCAGTGGGCACCTCCCCGTTCCGACCGCTGTTGTGGGCAGAAATAGATGGTGTCGTTTGCCCGGCCGCCAACCCTGCGCACACGTTAGGCCCCTCCGCTGCGACACCAGCCCGCAGGCCTTTCCCTGGACTGGAGCCCTGCGTGGACATCCCGTCTCAGTGAATTAGATGGTGGGAAGGCGTGGACACAGATTGCCGGGAGTCTTGGGAATGGGAAGGCGTGGACACAGATTGCCGGGGGCACGTGCCACGCAACTGTTTTATGGGCTCCCGAAGGCAACGTGCCAGCAGGCGACGTTAGGCATTTTGGCTGGCTGCGGCTCTTTGGTGTGGAAATAGATGGTGTCGTTTGCCCGGCCGGAAACCCTGCGCAGACGGTAGGCACTGGCCAGACTGGCCACACCACCTTGGCCTGCGCCTTTTTTCTTTAGGATTTTGAAAGCAACGTTAGGCATGCTCACCCCCCGTTCCAACTGCTGTTGTGGGCAGGAATAGATGGTGTCGTTTGCCCGGCCGGAAACCCTGCGCAAACGTTAGGCACTGGCCACGCCAGCCTGGCCTTGGCCTGCGCCTCTTTTCTTTAGGGTTTCGAAAGCAACGTTAGGCAGTGGGCACCCTCCCCGTTCCGACCGCTGTTGTGGGCAGAAATATAGACGGCGTCGTTTGCCCGGCTGTGCGCCCGGGCCTAGCCGCTGTTGACGCCATGTTTGACGCGAAACTGATTGCCACCGTTCGATTGTCCACGTATCCAGTTTCGACCTTGCTTGACACAACAGAATCTTTCCAATCAATATATACGCTTACCTGGAGAAGCCAACCCTGCTGCCTCTGTTTTTATTCATGACAGGTATGGGGCATGGCGTGTATCAACAAACTGCCAGAGGTATATAGAGTTTTGGCGTCGCTGGAACTCCAGAGCTGTGGAGTCGCATACGCAAGAATTTCTCACGAAAGCCACTTCAGAACAAGCCCTCTCTACCCCACCAGAGGGAGCTGGCGCGGGTTGGCGAAACACCGCATGGAGTGGGACATCCTCCAACTCTCATATTTTATTTCCACGTGTCTTCAACTGTACCTTCTTTAAGAGAGACCTTTTCTGACAATCGGAACCACCTTTTGATGACCCTGAAAGGTAAGTTAAGGTAGGCTGATCCAGTGACAAATTCTCTCAATATTCTTCCATATTCAACAACTGACCACGCAAGGTGAATCACCGTGCGCGTGAATGGCCCTTCCCCGTGCCTCCTTGCGCGCTCGCGGCTCAGGTGGCTGGAGGAGGCTTGCTCTACGCGGCTTCTGTCTTACATATGTTTTCGTTGCGCGACCCTGCTAAAGCTTTTGGATGCTTTTGGCATGTTATGGCAACTCCCTCAGTGTCATTTCCTTGATACTCCATTGCCTTCATCCACTACTCTGTCTGAAATAATGACATGCATGTCTATATACATATATATATAGCTCTACCCTTTCTTCAAGCTCTAAGGAGGCATGTGACGCAGTCACGAACCGTTCCCGATGATGTTTCTCTGGAATTCCAGCTCAGGCTGGAATCAGATCTTAATTTCGTCTTGATGGTGTTTTACCTTGTGAACTCTTGGTCGTGGAAGAGCATCTCCCTCATCTCATTGCTGGACCTTATAAGCCTCTGCAGTTCGGCAAAACTTCGCCCCGCAACAGGCTCTCACCGGCGATCTGTGGGTCGAAGCGACTCCAGTAGAAAGCATTGGCCATCTTCAGGACGGATGCATCACGATGCGTCATATCAATCATACTTATATATATATATACACTCATCGCAAAAAGGATTGCACAACAACGATGCCCCCAAAATGGGTAGATGGAACGGAGAATGTGGAAAACAGAATGCGAGCATCCAAAGAAAAATTGGCATTTGATGGCTTGGGAAAAGCTCATATCAAGGCAAATTCGAGAGGTAGATGGCGCAACTAGTTTTGGAAAATAGCGTGGATAGCCAAGCGCATATCAAAGCAAATGGGAGAGGTAGATTGCGCAATGACTACAGTTTTGAGTACACCGTGTTCCAACTAAGTACTCACGGTGTAGATGGAACGCCTTTCAGCGCGCTTTGCCCCATCTATGCTGAGTTTTGTGTGATCCATCACCATCAAGATTTGCTATTTTGCAATTTGGGTTGTGCCATCTACTGAGGCCTTTTTGGCTTGATACTCATTCACTCAGCAAGACCTACCTGTGGCCATTACCTGGGCTTTGTCTGGCGCCGACCAGGCGTTTGAGGCGACGTTAGGCATTCTCGCTCGTCTTGGCCCCAAACTCTCTGCGGCAGGCCTTCACTGGCTCTTTTCATTGGGTTTCGAAACTGCCCTTAGGCACCCTGTCAGGACAATATTTTAGTTCGTTTTTTGTGTGATTAGATGGTGGAAAGCTGTGGCGCAGCAGACTGCTGGGGACCCTTGGGAAGGTGTCTTTGGGGTCAGGTGTCCTCCACGCATTCTTGCTCGTGCTCGGCCCCAAACCCTCTGCGGCTGGCCTTCGCTAGCTTTTTTCATTGGGTTTCCAACCTGCCCTTAGGCACCCTCTCACGACAATATTTTGGTGGCTTTTCGCGTGACATTAGCTGTGGAAGGCTGTGGCGAGGCAGATTGCCGGGAGCCTTGGGAGGGATCGTGCTCGGTCACAAACCCGCTGCGGCGCAGGCCTTCACTAGCTCTTTCATTCGGCTTCGACACTGCCCTTAGGCACCCTGTCAGGACAATATGTTGGTCGTTTTTTGGTGTGGGTGGAACACGGCACCTATACCGGGGCGTTCCAGGCGACATCAGGCGTTCTCCCTCGTCGCGGCTCGCTTCTACGTTATATATATATATACACATGTACGTGTATGTGTATATATATATATGTATACGTAATACGTATACCGTATATCAAACTAGTTCAGCATGAAGGAAAAGCCAATAAAATTGAGAATGCACTGAAACCAACATTTAACTTTACTTCGTGTAGCATTTGCTCAAGTCGGGTACTCGCGCTGTGAACATGCAAGATTGCTTCTTGCAGGTCACCCGCGGACTGAGCAAAACGACAAAAGGATACAAAAGGCTTTAAACATTGTGCCTTTGCTTTGCAAGCGTGCGCAGCGTGCAGCATGGTGGACTTGGTTGCATCCTCGTACTTTCTGCTGCCTGGCGCTCCAGAATTTGTAACAAATATCATGTTCCCTACCAGTTGCACCAACTGCTCCAACTCCCAGCAAAGCATGCTGCAACAACCTGCTTCGCCCCTGCCACTGTCGCCTTTGAACGGTCCACAACAGCGCTTCTTCCAGTCAAGTTCGCTGAGGGCCAGCATAGGCCAGCTGCATTTACTGTATGTAATTATGCATTGGAGAAATTGCAGTGGCTCATTGCGTTTGCAAAATCCTTCAAAATTCTTCAAACGGGTCGAATGGTCTGCCATGCAGTTGACTTTCGCATTACACATCGACGACGGGGTGTGGTGGTGTTTGGCATTGTTCTCAATGTCCAAGCCACACATGGCACACACACTTCTCCCATGTCAAATGCAACGCACACAAGAGACCGCATACCGCAAGGTATTGGCATGGAAGATGGCCCTCCCCTGGAATGTGCTTCAGATGTTGATGTGATTGACACGCCTGAGCTTGTATTGCGACCGTTTCATGGGCAAGGCTTCAGCGAAAGGCCCATTGAATCCCATGTGACGAGAAGATTCGCACCCGATTGTATCACACCAATTCCCATTTCCAATTGTGTGCTGATACCCAGTAACTAGAATGGCTACTGCAGGTGGCAACAATTCCAAGGCTATATACCCCGCTGACCGATCTAAGAAACTGCATGGCTCACATGAACACCCGTCGCATTCATGATCGTGGTCCATGGACGTGTGAGCGCAATGGCTCTATGGGTCCGCTTTGATGCGCATGTTACAGATCGCGCACAAGCCGCCTTTGACAGCCAGCGCCGTAACTTGTAGCAAAATTGGACACTGATTCAGGGTAATGGAGTACTTGCAGAAGTCAAGGACTGTGCACGCTGCTCTTTGCGGGCCCAACCCAATTATCCCCGCATAACCTTTGCCGTACAGTGGCATTGCCTGGACCTACATGAGCTTTGCCACGCAATGACAAAAGTGAACAACCCAGACTCTTGGAGACTTCGAGACTATCTCCAATCTCAAATATGTCAAAAATAATCAGAAGCAGGAGTGAGAAAGAGCTCTTGTGTATCTCAGTCAAGCAGATGTGTTAAGAATGAGCCTCATGGCACCGGGTCAAATTTTGCGAAACATAGAGATACTTGTAATATAGACAAATATACATGGGCAATTGTGTATCACATGTGTATCTCAACCAAATGCAAATGAGATCATTTGCGCTGGGACTGCGAGGACTCAACTTCAGTACCAGTAGGCGCAGTTCGGTTCACTTGAAACACTTTGATTCTGATCTTCTTCAAGTCCCCATAAGGGCAGGAGAGTGCTACTAAGCGTTCGGCTTCATCGACTTCCTCTGACAAGCGGGAGGCTAATTGCACTGCCCGCATTTCGGCCTTTGAAAAGCAAGGTCTGTGGGGCCTACGCCAGACATATCGGCTTGCCTGACTTTTCTGCTTGAATAAGAAATACGCGCCCTAGCCAAAAAAGAAAGTCAAGCGCCTCTTCAATCTGCCTCCGGGTTGGGGATTGCGCAGCCTGTATCCAAAGCTGTCAGTTGGAAGTGCACCGGGCACCGGTTTAGGATAATCTGAGGCATCCGCATCTTTCTTCTTGGCCTTGGTGAAGACCGCGGGCCAAATTGGCACAGTTCTGACCATTCTTACGGGACAGAGGCATTGACCATGCCCAATCTGGGTCCTCCTCAATACGCCACCAGGGCAAAAGTGTTTCTTCTTGAAGGTTCCAAATTGACTCATGCAAAACACTTATGTCACCTCATACGGTCGAATTTCCTCCCTCCAAAGCTTCACCGTCCCACACTGGCCACGTGAAATAGATTTCTTAAGTCGACCGCGACTGTTAAGGATAAAACATTTCTTCCTCCTGAAGTATTCGCTTGAGTAGACTAGGCCCGGACTTTGCTCACCTGCCAACCGAACTGTCAACATACATGATTCCAAGTCAAGAAAACAAGACGAGATTCGAGCCGGTTCCAGCAAAACTCATCTCTGACCACCGTTCGCCTGTCCATATTCCGGCTCTTCCTGAGCCGACACCAAACTTGAACTGTTTCTTCCAGTCGCGCCACTTGTCAGTGGAAATTTTTTGTTTACATGAGTTGCTTGAACTTGTTTGCGCTCTTGAGGAATGCTACAAAGAACAAAACCTAAGACATACAGTATGACCAGTCGTAGTACAGAATCACATATGTGCACATTGCTCAATCGTAATCAATTTAGTTAGTTAGTTAGTCAGTCAGTCAGTTAGTTTGCTAGCTAGTTAGTTACTTAGTTAGTTAATTAGCTAGCTAGTTAGTTAGCTATGTATGCAGTTAGTTAGTTACTTACTTACTTACTTAGTTACTTACTTAGTTGCTTAGTTAGTGAGTGAGTTAGTTAGGTAGTTAGTTAGTTAGTTACTTACTAATGAGTGAGTTAGTTACAATAGTTGGCTGTACTGTATGTGTATATAGTACATATGTAATATTTATAGTAAAAATACAAACATACATACTATAATATCTATATCTATATATACATATATAATATTACAAAAAACATTAAAGGACCGGATAACCCCACATATGAATCTTTACGAATCTTAAGTTTCTAAAGCGCAACGCAGTCAGAGTCTCAATAGCTTCTACAACATGGCCTTGTCAGGAAGTGATATCAGATTCACACAACAGAGGGGTGGGAGAGAAGGTGTAAGAGAGTGATGTGCACGACGGATGTACGAGGTATTGTGCACACAGGTGTGCGCAGCCACAACTAGCCAACAACGCCAGCGGTTGTCGCACGTCCGCGCTATGGGGCATAATGTACTAAAGTTGTACTACCAAGTCGCCAGTTCTCATCTTCCAGCTCCCCAGCTACTCCGAGCACTACAGTTGTACTACAAAGTCGCCAGTGCTCATCTTCCAGCTCCACAGATACTCCGCGTACTCGAGTTGCGCTAGAAACTCGCCAGTTCTCATCTTCCCACTCCCCAGCTACTCCGCGTACTAAAGTTGTACTACCGAGCTTTCCAAATGGGATCGTACAATGAGCGTCCCCTCTAGTTAAGATAGTTATAACTTAAGATATTTCATTTACCGAAGTTATAAACTAGTTACACTTAAGTTAGTGAACCCCTTTCATAACTATGTTCTAACTTAGTTATATTTTAGTTACACAAGTTGTTAACTTCAGTAACTT